CATCTTGGCCAGGCTGGTCTCAAACTCCTGACCTCGACTGATTCGCCCACCTGGGGCTCCCAAAGTGCTGGGATTACAAGTGTGAGCCACCACGCCTGACCTAAACATATGTATTTCTAACTAATTTTCTATGTATGTGTATCATATTGAAAGGGCAGGGCTGCAGATTTGAGACCCACATTCTCCCGGCTTCTCATGAGAAGGCTTTTTGTTCCCTGACAGTTTGAACTTTGCATCCTTCTCTGGGTGGGGGCCCCTTGGTCCTGCTACCCCCTCCAGGGTTGCCAGGCTTGATCTGCTGTCCACTGCAGGCTGTGCCTGGGCCCAGGTCAGCAGGAGAGCCCTAGGGGAGGACAGGGTGCCCCCAACACTGAGTCCCTGGCATGGCCCCCGCCTGGCTTTCAGGTCCACCCTGAGAATGAAGACTGGACTTGCTTCGAGCAGTCTGCCTCACTGGACATCCGGTCCTTCTTTGGCTTTGAAAATGCCTTGGAGAAGATCGCCATGAAGCAGTACACCGCCAACGTCAAGAGGGTAAGGGGTGGGTTGCGTTAGTTACTGGAGGAAGGTGCACACACCTGCTCTGCCATCACCAGCCACGTGACACCTGGCAAGACCCTTACCCTTCCTGGGCCTCAGTCTTATCTGTTAAATGGGTACTCTAGTAATGACCAAGTCACCACGAGATAATGGGTGGAAAGTAACTGGTCTGTGACAGGGACACCCTAATCCTTGCTCTGGCACCATGAGACGTCCAGGATTATGTGGTGAATTTTCTGGACACCAGATAACTCTGTGGTGCTTTTTTTTTTTTTTTTTAAGATAAAATGATCATTGCTTGCTTTAAAGACCTCAATCCATCCCTGAGTAAAGACCTGTTCTTGTGATAAAACAGATGAAATTAACTTTAATAAAAAAATTTTATCCAATGTGTTACCGATATAAAACGTATTACTCCGAGGTGGGAGGATCAATTGAGCCCAGGAATTTCAGAACAGTCTAGGAAACATAGTGGACCCCAGCTCTAAAAAAATAAAATAAAATAAATTAGCTGGGTGTGGTGGTGAGTGCCTATAGTCCCAGCTGCTCAGGAGGCTGAAGCAGGAGGATCTCTTGATCCTGGGAGGTTGAGGCTGCAGTGTGCTGAGATGGTACCACTGCACTCCAGCCTGGGCAACACAGCAAGACACTGTCTCAAAAAAAAATAAACAAAAACAACCCCCAACCCGAAAAACTTATTACTGAGCTATTTTGCATTCTTTGTTTGGTACCAAGCCTTGGAAATCAGGTGGGCGTTGGACACTCGCAGCATTTTTCCATCCCGACTGGACACATCCAGCTGCTCAGTAGCCACGTGTCAGGGCTGGGACCTGAGCCAGCTGGGGGTGACTCCCTGCGGTGACCCGGTGACCCCCCTCCATCCTGCCCCATGCTCATGTGTCTTGGGTCTCTCTGGCTTCCAGGGGAAGGAGGTGATTGAACATTACTTGAATGAGCTCATCTCCCAGGGTACCTCGCACATTCCCCGCTGGACGCCTGCCCCGGTCCGTGAGGAGGATGCCCGCAACCAGGCTGGACCGAGGGACCCCGGCTCCCTGGAGGCCCACCGGCCCGGTAGCGCCCTGGGCCCCGCTCTGGAGGCGGTCAGTATGGACGGTAGGTGGTGCAGCCCAGGCCAGTCAGCCCTAGGAGGCTGCTGCAGGTCCTCTTGCTCCATGGGGGGCCTGGGGCATGTTGGGGAGAATTGCTTCCCATCGCCCTGGGAGTGGGTCTAGATCTTGGAACAACGCAGCCTCCTGCCTCCACTGACTGCTTCTCCCTCTCTCCATCCTGGTCCAAGAGCAGAACCCATTTGTGTCTTTTCTTTGTTTGTTTGTTTGTTTGTTTTTTGAAACAGAATCCCCCTCCGTCACCCAGGCTGGAGTGCAGTGGCGCGATCTCGGTTCGCTGCAACCTCTGCCTCCTGGGTTCAAGCGATTCTTCTGCCTCAGCCTCCCAAGTAGCTGGGGTTACAGGCATCTGCCATCACGCTCAGCCCATTTTTTGTATTTTTAGTAGAGATGGGGTTTCACCATGTTGGCCAGACTGGTCTCAAACTCCTGAGTTCAAGTGATCCGCCTGCCTTGACCGCCCAAAGTGCTGGGATGACAGGCATAAGCCTTGCGCCTGGCAAAAACTCATTTATTTCTAGATCAGGAATTAACCTCTGGTGCCTTGACATTGCCTCTTTCTCTAGTTTTACTATTTACTAACCTACCAATTATTATGAATT